TATTTTGATTTTAGGAATAATTATTGAGTACTAGATTCTTTGTAGTCCATCCTCAAGGTCAAAATGTCTTCACAAATTAGTAATAAAATTTTTATGCATTAATTGTATAGATTTTATTTAAATTAAATTATTATTTTATTTACTTGCAATATGGATAAAAAGGTATTTATTAAAAAGTTTATTTATTAAAAAAAAAATTAGGCCCATATGCAATTGCAAGTTAATTGCACCAATGTAGGTACAATGAAAGTAAAATGAATTGACTTGTAAAAATGGTGTTGTGTAAAAAAAAACCCACAAATGCAATTGCACCAATGTGGATGCTCTTATAACTAAAATATGAGTTAATAAAAGTAAAATTCTAAATAGTCTGAGTAAATTTAGGCATTCAAATATCTTTCTTACATAAGACACTTCTAACCATGGTTGTCAAACCGGTCTCATGCCGGCCGGTTCAACCGGGTACAACCGATACCGGTCACCAAACCGGCTGGAAAGAGGCCGGTATTTAACTATGGTCAAATCCAGTCAATGCCGGTCAGACCCGGTCAATTCTGGAAATTCCGGCCGGTTAGACCAGAAACTGGAATTCAATGTTACACATATTTTATCCAAAAATAAACACTCTCCTTAGGATTTGAACCAAGTATCTCATATTCATTTTGGACTCTCTTTTTACACCAGTAGGCTACAAGCAACTTTGTTGTATATATTAACCTTATATATTATATATCTAACACTAAATTTTACACAAATCATTATAAACATTAATAAAATTCATTTTATATACTTTTATTTTTAAGCATATAATTGTTTAGTATTAGTTACCAATTCTTAGCTATAAATTATTTTGTGTGAAATAATTTTTCTAATTGCTTTTTGACGACTAATTTATTTGGAATTGAGGATTTCCATTTGTCTCATATATTTTATTAAAACCGGTACAACCGGCGTGAATACTGGTTGTACCACGGTCGGACCATTCCACTTTTAAAATCGGCACACCGGCATAAACCGGTTTGACAACCTTACTTCTAACAGATTGAAAATCATATCTAACTGGTCTTCCATTTTGCAAATAAGAAAATTAGATTAAGAATGGAATGGAACAATGAGAGTACTACTCGTCCTACCTACATAACCAGTATTTTTCTAAACAAAACAAACAGATCAAATAAAATAAATTTTTAGATATAAAAAGTTAAATTACCCCCGCACACTCTAGGTTCCATTTGTGTAAAATATAGACAACTACAACAGTCCTACTGCCAATTGACTCTTCTTCCGCCCGCCTATCTTTTCCCTTCTGCCCTCTCCAGTCTCCCCCTCGTTCGCATCGCCCCCATTGCTGAAAATCTCACTTCTCCCATTCTCCTTTGTCATCCGCCATGCAAGCTCTGCAATCCCCTTCTTCTCTCCGCCCTTCCCCCCTGCAGCCACTCCAACGGAGATCCCGCAATGCGACCCGCCCCGCATTTTTCTCCCAGAGGAAGCTCCCCGTCATCGCCGCCTCTTCCAATGTCTCCGTTTCAGCTCCCAAGCGGGAGACTGACCCGAAGAAGCGGGTTGTAATCACCGGCATGGGATTGGTCTCTGTATTCGGCAACGATGTGGATGCTTACTACGAGAAGCTGCTTGCTGGGGAGAGTGGGATCACTCTAATCGACCGCTTCGATGCGTCCAAGTTTCCGACCCGGTTTGCCGGCCAGATCCGGGGTTTTACTGCTCAGGGTTATATCGATGGGAAGAACGACCGGAGGCTTGATGATTGCTTGAGGTATTGCATTGTGGCAGGGAAGAAGGCCCTGGAAGATGCGGATCTTGGTGGGGAGAAGCTATCCAAGGTTTGCTTTAACTGTTCAATTGAAATGTGTTGTCTTTCTTTTTTTTGGACTCCTCAATTTGGCTGTGTAGGGTTTTGGCGGATTTGGTTGTTTTGCTTGGTGGGTTTATCGTTTCTTCTGGTTTTAAGCTATGGGGAGTTTTCTGTGTGTTGGTTTTGGGATCTGAATTTGGCCTTGATTGGTAAGTGTAGAATGCAAGTGAGCTTGGATTAGTCTTGCTATCCTCCGTTATAAGCAGAATTCTTTATGAATTAGGATCTACGAGTGAAGGGAAAACAGCAAGTGCATAGGACAAAAAGTTACAAATATATAGTATCGCCATCTTTCTAGTTAAAATTTGATTCTCTCTTTTGATCCCGTTTCATTTGGCCTCTGCAAATTATGCATTGCAGATCGACATGGAGAAAGCTGGTGTGCTTGTTGGAACAGGGATGGGAGGTCTAACTGTCTTTTCTGACAATGTCCAGACTCTAATTGAGAAAGGACACCGGAAAATTAGCCCATTCTTCATTCCTTACTCCATAACAAACATGGCTTCGGCTCTGCTGGGGATTGAGCTTGGTTTCATGGGGCCTAATTACTCCATTTCAACAGCATGTGCAACTTCTAATTACTGCTTCTATGCTGCTGCAAACCATATCCGCCGAGGTGAGGCTGATTTGATGATTGCTGGTGGAACTGAAGCTGCTGTTATTCCTATTGGGTTGGGAGGATTTGTGGCATGTAGGGCCTTGTCTCAGAGAAATGATGACCCGAAAACTGCTTCAAGGCCATGGGACAGAGATCGAGATGGTTTTGTCATGGGTGAAGGTTCAGGAGTATTGGTAAGTTGTCATTCATTGGTATCTGTTATCCTTCTTTCTTCACTAAAAACTTTTCATTTATGAACTTCAAACTAGATGATGATGATGTAGTAATACTAGCTCAAAATTTAAAAGAGCTTAAGGATTAATCTTAAATGTGCTGCAGATTATGGAGAGTTTGGAACATGCCATGAAACGTGGGGCACCCATCATTGCTGAGTACTTGGGAGGTGCTGTTAACTGCGATGCTTATCATATGACTGACCCAAGAGCTGATGGACTTGGAGTTTCTACTTGTATCGAGAGAAGTCTCGAAGATGCTGGTGTCTCGCCTGAAGAGGTGACAAGTTCCTCCAACTTCTCTCTGAAAATCAATAGTACTGCAGTTATAAGAGAAATAAATCACTCTTTGTTGTGGCTCCATTTAGTCCTCTTTGCTCTTATTGCCTTTGTTTGTTGGTTTCTTTGGCATATTGTGGGTGTGCATTGGTAAATGGTAACTGGCAATGATTCCTAGTTTTGCAATAGTTTCCCACTTATATCAATGGTCAATCTTCCTTTTGTATTCTGACTTTTGGGGGATGATGAAGCTGAAAATTCGGTATATGAATACATGGAAAGAGGCTGATCTTGCTTGTTAACTGTACGAGTACAGATAGCTTACAAAGTTTTTGGCTATGAGCTTGCTAGAATCAAAATGAATTGACATGGCTTTTCCTGTGGTTCTTTCTAGTAATCTACCAGTAGGAAAGCCCAGGAAGAGCATATTCTTGGCTGATTAGGTTGTTTGTTTGCCTATTTTCTAACGCCATCATGTTTTGCTTCTCAGGTCAACTACATAAACGCTCATGCGACCTCGACTCTTGCTGGCGACCTTGCGGAGATAAATGCTATAAAGAAGGTGTTTAAGAACACTTCGGAGATTAAAATCAATGCAACCAAGGTAAACCTTTTGTCTCCCTTTTTTTTTTTTTTTGTTAATCAAGGTAAACCTTTTGTCTCCTTTAAGATTGGTTTATCCTGGAAGTTCTTTTGGCTTCTCTGAACTTGGGTGTTTTTTTAGACAATCTATTTTGTGAGGTTGTGCTGCTAAATCAGTAAATCTCACTTCTTGCCTTTTGTTTTTGTCATTCTCAGTCCATGATAGGTCACTGTCTTGGTGCTTCTGGAGGTTTGGAAGCAATAGCTACCGTGAAGGCTATCAACACGGGATGGCTACATCCTTCCATTAACCAATTTGTATGTGGTATTATTAGTCAGTGTTCTTTGTGCAAATAGCTATATGAACATCTGAGTTTTGCTCTCTAGGTCTTTTATGAGGTTAATGAACTGAAATCTCTCGTGTGTGTGTAAAACCAGAATCCAGAGCCTTCAGTCGAATTCAACACAGTTCCCAACGAGAAGCAGCAGCACGAAGTGAACGTTGGTAAGACAGCTAGACCCTTTGAACAATGATCACCGCACTTACTCTCGAGTGAGAGAATCTAAAACCACTCTGGTTGTTCTTTGCAGCCATCTCAAATTCCTTCGGATTTGGAGGACACAATTCAGTTGTGGCGTTTTCGGCATTTAAGCCCTGAGAGTAAAGCTGGAAGCTCGGAAAAGACTGGGAAATCTGCAGTTGTGGTTGTTGTTGAATGATTTTGAGGACAAATCTACTAGGCTAAGAAAGACTTAGTTTACAGAAATGGTTCAGTTTTTTTGCATTTGTAATTTTTGCTTCTAAACTATAAACTATTTCCAACTCCTTGCATCCGGCCTTCGTGTAGCATGAGTTCTTGATCTGTAGCTAAGTTATTTGTAGCAGAACCAGCAAGAATTGAGCCCTTGTTTAGTATCAGAAGATAGCTAAGTTCATTTTCCTCCTTTGTTCTTCCGAAACATTATTCACATGACGTAGTTGGGGTGTTCACACCACATACTCGAATATTTTGTGTGAATATCCAAACCACATTATACAAATACTGAAATTACGTTATGTGAACATTATCAATTTACCTCAAAAACTGTGTCAAAAGGAATCTGCATTGGTCTTATTGGATTGCCAAAAATATTCTAAAGAAATATTTGTTTGATTATTTTCATAAAATAATATCTACTAGCTACAAAATCTAAAAAATAAAACAAATAGGGCGTTAGCTGTTAAGATGTTCTCTGAGTTTTGGGCTTTTGGTCTTTGACGTTAGCATCTTAACCACACTGATGTGCCCACTGGCCCAAACTCGAAGTGGCCGGGAACTGAGCCCAGTACCAGAACGTTTCCAGCTTCGCGAAAACGGTGTCGTAGAAGCACAAGCGGTTCGAATTCGTGGGTCGTGGCATTTATGCGTTTACGGACGAGAGACCAGACACACGTGACTCGTGACTCGTGACCTCACGAAGAACAGAAGTGGAAAACGCAGAGAGCAAGAAAGGAAGAACGTCCATGGTGGCCAAGCAAGCTTCAACGTCGAAGAACTCCTCTTCTCCCCCTTCTTCTTCTCCAGCCTCCTCGGCTCCCGTTGAAACACCCACCTTCAACTCCTACAGGTAAGCTCCAATTCCCCTCACTCTGAGAATCCGACTTCACTTCGTGCAAAATTTTCCTTCCGTTCCCCTCTTCTTCTTTGACTGTTTGGCCGCCGAGAAAATCTTCGAATCACGAAGGTCGAGCGACCGATTATGCGATAATTCTTTGTTGCCTGTCAACCTTACTTTGCGCTGCTAAGAAGCATAAAGCGCTGAGAGCTGTCTCTGTAAATTTTTCTTTGGTTCCAGGAGAACGATGTTGTTGAGAATTAAATCTGACGAGCGGGTGAGGAATGCCGTAAGACAAGCTTCGTTGTGCAGCGAGTTCGAAAGGAAACTGAATGTAACGAAGTCGATAACGAAGAAGAAGCCGAAGATGCCGCCAAGCGCCTTCTTCATCCACATGTGAGTCGCTAGCTTGCCCCATTTTCTTTGATTCTGTTATCTGTTTGGCATGAGAGCTGCTAGCTAGCACCCTCTCCCAAGAAAGGCCTTGACCTAGCTGGTTTAGTGTTTTGCTTGTTGATTACATTGAGTCGCATGCTTATCATCGGTTGCTTCATTCTTTACTACTATTCTTAATGCGCCAATGGAGAGCTGCAAGATATGATTCCATTGAGGGGGGCTGTAGGGAATGCCTGGTTCCTGAAAGGGTTGGCTGCGTTTGCTGGGTTGTTGAGACTTCAATGTTAGTGGATAGTCTGTAGGAAGCTGAATTGAAAGCTCCATTTGATGTCTGTTTTGGACGATCTTGGATGTTCCGTATCGTCATGATAAGGAGTCTCTCTCTCAAAATCCGCTCAGTTATATTGATTAGAGCATTTTGATAATTTCAACGGTTCGTGCTTTGGTTGAGCGGTTTTTGCCGACAAGAAGTGATGAAGATTCCTGCACTATCTTCAGTCTTCGCTATGGCTCGATCGAACTGTCATTGTTTCTGTGCTGTAACTATTTCAGCTTGGTCTTTGAACTACGCTGAACTTGTTCTATTTTCTGAATCTGTAGGGAAGATTTTCGCAAAGAATTTCATGAGCAGAACCCAGATGTCAAGTCCAGGGCGCGTGAGGTGAGTCTTTTGATGCACACTGGGTTGTTTCAAGTCATTTGTTTCCGTCTTTTTTTGTGCTGCCCCTGATGCCATAGTCGATTGCTTTGCCATTTTTTGTTTCAGTTTAGCAAAGCGTGTGGGGAGAAATGGAAAAGGATGACATATGAGGTTTGATTGGTGTTGCTCTTTGATTAATGATATGTTCTGTTCTCTTCTTGATTAATGTTGCTCTTTGATTAATGATATAAATGTGGAGACTAAACAATAGGTTTGTTTGTCATGAGAGGAAAATGCTCCTGCCATATGTTTTTGCTGTCTGTTTTCACTCTCCAGTCACATTGCTATTGCTCCAATTGTTCGCTTGAAAGCATCGCCATTGGAATTATTAGAGGGAATTCTGTAGCCTCCCTTCTCTGGCTATTCTTAACCAAAGCTCATTTGTAGTTAGTATATTCGAATCATGCTGCAGACCAAGTTCCATTCGTATTTATGGCAACAACATTGCCGAACTGTTACGCCTGCAAATTTGAAGCCTATACCAGCTCCATTACTTGATTGGGCATCTACTTGTAACTATAGAACCATTTACCATTCTTTCAACTTCTGCTATGTTTATGTTGATTGTTTTAGCATCCTCTGCAGCCTTTCCTTGCGCACATTGCTGCCATGCTACTTCAGAATGACCTTCTAATGTTTTCTTTTCTGCCTGTTATAGGAAAAAGTCAAGTACTATGACATCGCCATCCAGAAAATGGCAGAGTTTGAAATTGCCATGAAGGATTACACAGAGAACAAGGTAAACCATTCCCAGCTACCTCCCCATCTTAAGCAGATTCTAATGTCTATGATCTTAAAGAAGAATAATTTGCTGCAGGAATCTGGCGAATACGAGGACAGTGATGAGGACTCCGACTCCGACGATTACTACTAGGACTATTGTATTCAGCTACCAATCCTTGAGCAGGCACAAGCTATTAAGTACACGAGCACAGAAGTTATACATCCCTTTTGTGATCATTATCTTGTTTGTGTAAATGGGTATGTGATTCTGTGCATATGAGATATGACAACTAATGTGAACTGACATTGAAGTAAATAGGTTAATAGTTTTGTAGACAAGGTAAAAACCATGTCATTGCAGATGTCAAAACCTTGTCGATTCTGGAGTTAATTGACCCGAATTTAGTTACCTCTATCTCGATTCATGACGTTTTATTCTGATCGTAAAGTTGTCCCTTTCGGTAGGGGATTCATAGTAGTACATATCTCTCATCTATTGTAGCCGGCTACCCACACAATCCCCATGGATATTGAACACTACTACACTATTGTGTTACATTACGACGATTTTCTCGTCAGCTAAGCTACTTCTGTCAGCTGAAATGCCCAAAGAAGCTGCAATGCTTCTGACTTCTGCAATCATGGCAACTACATCGTTGAGCTTGTTAATGGCTGAGCCCACACCCTGCAATCACAGATACAAAAAAAAAACCGTTTTCGAGTTAATTCTCCTCCCCTGGATTACCATATCTGGGATAGAATTGTTAAGAGCCGTGAGTCTAGAAATAACGACGCTGCTAGATACGTACCACACCAGAAGCTCCTGCTGTGATGGCCATGGGCGCCGTCACTGCACTGAGTCCAGATGAACACATCACAGGAATCTTAACTGCTCTTGAGATTGAGTATGCCGCTGCCAAGGTAGGCGTTGCCTGTACAACATGAGTAATCATCAGTATATCATACCGCGATATTGGTTAGGCATTGCGAGCACAGCATTATTACTACCTTCTCAATCAAACCCAAAACACCAGATTTGGAAGGATTTGAGCATTTCCCTCCTTCAGTTTGTATAATGTCCACACCTTCCTGCTCCAACAGCTCTGCTAGCTTGATCTGTGCGGTCGATCATTCAACGAAATGGCTTAACGACTGGAAACGAATATCGTATACTAGTACTCTTCTGTTGATTGAATTACCTGGTCAGGGAGGCTAAGTGTGTGAGGCACAGTGACTGATAATGGAACATAAGGAAGAATCCTCCTCGTCTCTGTTGTCAGGTTTAGTATCTGCAGGAAGAAGAAAAAAAACGAACTAAAATTCAGGTGCTGATAGATGAAAGTATCTAACCTCTGAATGCAAATGATTAAAGTCGGCATGATATCAGAGCTTTCGACCGCGTTGGTTTCGTGTTGAAATAACATCAACAGTTAGAATCAACTACCTGCTCCGGAGAGAATACAATCCCAGCTTCATAAAACGAATCATAGTTTCCGATCTCCACCTGCCACCAACATCGCAGGAAGATGGTTTTGTCAGCACAAATGTCTGGAAATTAAAGCAAATGCATCATTTTCTGTTCAAGAGATGAGACCATTGTTGCTCCAGCTTCAATGGCAGCCGGAAATGCTGCCGGATCTACAGAGGAGACACACACCTGCAAAGCAAGCAAGCAAGATTTTACCAGTTACTTTTAGCTCCACAAAGGAACTCTAATCAGATCAAATTTCGCCCGTCAAGTGAAAAAGCGAATTTACCGGGAGAGAAGTCAGGGCAATTGCGAGCTTCACCAATTCAGGGTCGCAAGCTATATCCACATGCGTCGCTCCTCCCTGCAAAGCTTCTTTCAGTAAATTGGGAGGGTTACATGATTTTTTATAAACGGGACGAATTCTGGGTTTCCCCTGACCTTATCGGCGGCGGTGACAACCGAAGCGACATTGTCTCTGTTGAAGTTCTGGAGGCCAGTGATAATCTGAGCAAAGGAACCATCGATCGTTGAGTAAAAAGGATGTTGAATGTAGAGAAAGGGTCTAAACAGAATTTTTTTTAAAGAACCTTGAGAGCTCTTCGTCGGTGGAAATCCTTCAGCACCGCTTCTCTGGCGACGGGCAGCTGCTGGGCTCTGATGGCGGTGGTTGAAGGCGTGCTCCGCCGTCGAACGGGAGATGGCCTGGAAGCTAGCAAGTAACCGTGAAATGGGTTGGCGTTTGGGTTCAACGACGGCGATGATGGTAAACAGATTGATGGGTTCATTTTTTTTCGTTTGCTCCGTTCTCTGCTTTACACTGTCTCTGACTCTCTGTAGGTGGAAAGGGATAAGAAGGGGGAGGAGAAGTAATGGATTTCCGGCTCTCAACCCGACAAAGAAATAGAAAGATAAAATGTTCAGGTGCTGAGGATTATTGACTAGAGACACCATTATACTATTGGTAGATGACAAGAAGCCCCTCTACAATATTTTTTTATGGTTAATAACTTATTTTGATTCGAACTATACTCAAACTTAACTTTTTACTTTGGTTCGTGATTTCTAAAATTGTTCCCATGACCCGAATTATGCACCATACTTCCTTGCTTGGCCTGAAACAGGTTTTGACCGTCAAATTAGACGGTCAACTTCATTGACTGTTAGTCAAGAGCCAAATCATTTTCCACGTCAGCGAACCCGAAATAAAAAAAATTGGATTTATGAATTTTTGTAATTATTTTTGTTATCCATATTTTTTTAAAAATATTTTTTCCTTAATGTATTGTTATAAGAAAAAGAAAAGAATTAAATAAATTCAAAAATTTTATTCCGGGTTCGCTGATGTGGCAAATGATCTGGCGCTTGACTAACGGTAAATGGAGTTAACCGTCCAATTTAACGGTCAAAACTCACGTCGGGCCAAGCAAGGAAGTATGGTAGATAGTTCGGGCTAGGGGAGCAATTTTAAAAACCACGGATCAAATTAGAAAGTTTAGCTATAGTCCAGATTAAATTAAGGTATTAACTTTTTTTAATGCATAATCCTTTGTTTTGTATGAAGGATGAGGTTTTGAGGAAAGAGAAGAGGGGGATTAAGAAGGTCATTGATTGGGGAGGAAACGAATGTGGCTAAAAAAATCCAAAGAGGTGTAAAAAGGATAAATTTTGAAAATATGAGTCATGATTCTAGGGTGTTGGATTATAGATGTAGTATGGATGACGCTTAGTGTTCGTTTTGGAGCCTAACAAGTCAGATCATTTTGCTAGTGTAGTTTCAACGTGTGTTAGTTATTGATATAAAACATATGAGGTCATTTGGATCCAGGTTTTGGGTGTGGGATTTGGGTACAATCCCGCATGGTGTGAGATTTTAATCAAAATCACTCATTTGGAAATCATTTATATCATAAGAAATTTTAAATATTAGAGATTTTTGGGATTGTGAAATAGCTGATGGTCATCGACTATTTTAAAATCCCACAATATTTGATCATTTTGTTCCATAAATGCCCATGCTCCTTTTGTGTTAATCCTATTTTACCCTCCTCATTCTATTAACCTATCTATCAATCCATTTACCTGCAGTCACTCCCAACCAAAGAAAGGAAGCTCGACGAGCGTGTGGCATCTGAAGCGACCTCATCGGTGGCAACGAAGCAACAGTCGGAGGGTTCAGTAGCAGAGGCGTTGGGTCTGCTAGATCAAGTCATTTCAGGTTAGTTACTCTTCTTTGGGTTACAATATGGATATTTAGGGTTCTGTTCTTTCGTTTCTTGCGTGGATGTCAGCTTCTTCTCCCATAAGTTTGTACTATTGTTGGTTTGTGGGTTACCTGCGTAGAACCCATAACCTCACCGGAGCTATGTTGGGGCGGGCAAATAAACCATTCCATTTACCCTTTCTCTTCTTTTAATTGATTTGTTGTTGTTTGATTCCCAAATGATGTAAATTTTTCAATGCCACCATCTTTATCTTCCTTCTCTATGTTTTTGTGTTGGGCTTAATTTATTGCTTGTTAGCTTGCTTGCTTGTATGTGCGCTACTGCATATGGCGGGTTCCCCCCAAAGCTTAGTTGTTGTTAGTATGTTGTTGTTCTTGGCCACAATGTCTGCAGTATAGTAGTTGCTGTGTTTTTAATTCAATTTGTCAATTTTTGATAAAGGATGTCTCGGCTTTCCACGATGTCTGCTACGGAAAGGCGCAAAGTGATTGTTACTATTAGCTCATTTTGGAACCTTGTCATGATTTATGTCAATTTAGGAATGGAGGTGATGGAACTTACAGAGATGCTAATTCGTAATCCTAAAATTGGTAGGCAGCCCTTAGATAGTTACATGATGCGTTAGTACGATAGGCAAAGGGTGATTGACAAATGTACCAAATTCAGTGATGACGAGAGTCACAAGAAGATTAGGATGCAACGTAGCTTATTCAAGAAGCTATGTGACCTTTTAGTTTCGGAAGGTGGGCTGAAAAGGACCCGAAATGCTGAAGTAGATAAAATGGTTCTCATCTTTCTATTGGTTATATCACATAACAACAAATTCTTAGTTTAGCAGTGGATTTTTGCCGCTCTTCTGAGGTTATTTATAGGTTGTTCACCGAGTCTTACGGGCAATTCTAAGACTCAACAACCAGCTTATGAAGAAACCCGAACCCATTCTCGCTAATTCCACCGATAACAGATGGAAATACTTCAAGGTCGGACACTTTGACTTTTGTTAAGACAATATTACAAGCATTTGCAGTATTTTTTAGCTTAATTGTTTGCTTCATTGTCTCAAAATTGTTTGGGAGCTCTTGACGGAACCCGCATTAATGTGCGAGCCTTGAAGGAAGAGCGAACTACGTATCGAGATAGGTCCGGTCATCTCTCCATCAATTGTTTGGGTGTTTGTACCCCCAGATTTAGAGTTCATATATTGTCTAGCTGGATGGGAAGGGTCTGCACATGATGCGAGAGTGTTGAGAGATGCATAAAACAGGTCGAATGCCCTAGTTGTGCCGGAAGGTAATAGTTTCAGAAACAAAAACCTACTTGGAATATAGATTAAGTATTCTCACACGAGTGAGAAATGCTAATTCTAATTATTTTTTGACATAGGGTGTTATTACTTATGTGATTCGGGGTATGGCAACAACCCTGGGTTCTTGACCCCTATTCGGGGGCCAAGATTCCATATTGATGAACCGGGGGGGGGGGGAACTTTCACGAAGACATGCTCATGCTAGGAACGTGATAGAGAAGATTTTTGGAATTATGAAAATGCTATGGGGAATTTTGAGGGATGTTAGTTGGTTCTCAGTGCCTGTGATTTCTAGGATTGTTCTAGCTTGTTGTATTTTACACAATTTCATAAAGAAGGAGGAAGGAGCTAACTTTTATGAAAGAACCTACAGAGACCAGCCACATGAACAGAACCAACATGAATCTTCCGGGGTTGATACAGATGCAAACTCGGGCACTCAACCGATCGAAGCTTGGTCTCAGTTTAGGATGGATTTGGCCTCTAAAATTTGGAACGCTCGGCCTGTACGATTCAGAACTCCTTCATGAGTCTCTCTTTTGTAGTTTAATTGTTATGACTTATGTAATGTGTAGACAATTAAGTGGTTGGCTACCATTTGTTTAGCTTGTTCTAGGAAAATAAGTGATTAGTTGTTGTTTGTTAAGTTGTTATGAGTTATGTAATATGTAGACAGATTACAGTGTTACGTAATCCGTTGGACCTTTTCCATAGTTATGTAATCTATTGGCAGATGAATCTATGTTTGATTAGGAATCTATGTATGATGGTGATGCCAATTGCTTTTATTTAAGTTGTTGGGTGTTCATTTGGGCAGAAGTGGATTTATTCATTTGGGGCTGCAATTTGTTCATTGGGGGAAGTTGTTGTTCGTTTATATATGTACCATTGTATTATCCCTACTAATGAATCTATGTTTGATCTCTATTTGATAGATATGGGGAAAAGAAAGAAGGTGAACAACGAAGAAGATAATGGTGCTTGCTCCACGAAGTACTTCTTGTGGCCTGAGCATCTCGATAAGCCATTTGCAGATTGTATCTTAGAGTGCTTCGAGAAGGGACTGATAGTGGATGGAATTTGTAAGAATGGTATGTATGGTCTGCTTGCGAGGATGATGGAAGCTAAGGTCTCGGGCTGTGGAGTGAAAGACAAGCCTCATGTAGAGGGTAGGATTAAAAAAATGGAAGAAGATCTAGCATGCAATGACGTTCATGAGAAATCATAGTGGATGGGGCTGGGATGAGATTAATCTGTGTGTCACTTGTCCTAATGAACGTTGGGCTGACTTTGAGCTGGTAAGACTTCGTATATATTTAGATTGTACTTTGGGTAGTTTACTGGTTTCATGAAAAAAAAAAAAGATTTGTGAAGCTAATGGTTGGTAATTACTTGCAAAAACATCATAATTGTGAAGGTCTGAACAAGAAACCATTCATGGTTTATGATGCTCTGACACCGGTCTTCTGCAAAGGTCGTGCAAGTGGGGATCATGGAGTTGACACCAATAATCCGATCTGCTTAGATGGAACATCAGGAGAAGATGAGGGAACTCCAAATATTGCATTCGAAGATGCAAATGTAGGGGTGGAAAACGGGACGGGATTGGGTACCCGTCCCGTTTGAAACGGGTACCCAATCCCATTTGAAGATCATAGTTCATCCCATATCCCAAACCCGTACGGGTAACGGGTACCAGTTAATTCATACGGGACGAATAACGGGTACCCAAACTACCCGTTTATACCCGTTCAACATGAGAACAATTACAAAACTTTCACTTAGAAACAAAAACAATGCAAGGTTTTGGTGTTCAAGCAGCACTATGAAACGAATATAATAGATAGCTAAAGAAGCAAAAGCCATGAATCCTCTTAAAGAGATGTATTGAGATAAGTGGATCGGCAATGCAACTTATGCTTTTTGTTTTGTATTTTTACTTTGATAATAGCAAATTATTATTCGGTCAAAGTTTTCATTACAATTTCCCCAGCCTAAGGAGTGACAGATCAGTAACTAATTCTACAAGGACCACATGAACAACACACCATCAATAACAATAACTAATACTCCTAAAGATAGCACAATGCATAAGTCAGATAAGTTTGGGAGGAACAACATGAAAGCAACCATACTTATGTTTTACAATTCAAGAAAAGTAAGCTATACGTTCAATGTCGTAGAAACCCACGAATTTCAAACAAAACTAGCATAAAGCTCAAATGAGGTTATAAAGTTTTGAGCTTTTTACTTCGTCAAATTTAACTTATAGCCATTCATTGGAAGTTTCAGATTTGGGCTAGGTTAATGTGTAGATTGGGTATAACGGGTACCCATATTACCCAAACGGGTATTAACGGGATACCCACGGGTACCCAATGTTGATATTTACAATCCCAAATCCCATCCCGCAATAAATAAAACGAGTATTTGGGTACCCGTAACCCTAAAAAAACGGGACTGATACGGGTATACCCAAATACCCGTTTCCCGTTGTCCATCCCTATGCAAATGAGGGGGCTTTGGGAGGAAATCAATGTGAAGTTAGCTTATGAAAAAATACAGTATGCAAGCATCAGGGGCGAAGCCAGAGCAGCGGCCGGGGCCAATGCCCCCCCCCCCCCCCCCCCCCCCCCCGGGAATTTCTGAAACATATGTAAATACAGGTATGTGCAATAGTTAGACATGTATCATTCTGATAGCGTAGTGGAGGAATGCTTACATTGTAGATGCAAGGTCGCGGGTTTGAGTATTCTGTTAGACCTTCACCCCTACACACTGCATCTGCCTTCTTTTTGTTATTTGGTTTTAATTTTATCTAACTAGCTTCAAGCCTTCAACCCAGCTCGTTGGGCAGTAAGCCCTATTGTTGCTTTTTTTACTTCGAATTGTTATTTTAGTTTATAATATATTTGACGATATCCATACGTTTTATGATTATGAAGACTAATTTAGGAAGAGTAAGTAGAAGTATAAGTTTAGACTCTCAAGAGTTCGAGAGTGCCTAATTCATCATTTGCCTTAATTGAACGAGATCCTGGACTACGTAAGCCAATATGAACATTTCCGCCTAATAAGCGTGATGAGATAAGGCGAGTTTACTTGAGTTGCGGCCCCCCTACAATTTCAGATAGAGGAATTGCGAGCAAGGTTTGAGGAAAATATTGTTGAACTTCTGAAATTGAGCTCAAGTTTGGATCCTACCAATGGATATAAAGCATTCGATATTAGTGCTATTTGCAGTCTTGCAGGAAAGTATTATCCTTTGGATTTTTCTGAGAAAGAAATAGATAGATTGGCATTCCAGTTAAGGATTTTCCATCGTGCTGCTCTTACACATCCTGTTTTGGCGAATCTATCATTTGTTGCTGAATTGTGTTGTGGTTTAGTAGAATCTGGGAAGTCAAAGGATTTTGATCTTGTTGATCGGCTGATTTGTCTTGTTTTGACTCTTCCAGTCTCTACTGCTAATGGTGAATGAGCTTTTTCTGCCATGAAGTTAGTGAAGACCAAACTGCGCAACAAAATGGATGATGATTTTCTAGCCGATGGTCTTATTATTTATATTGAACAGGATATAGTAGACACTTTTAGTTTAAATGATATTTTGTCGGGGTGGAAATTGGGGTGGGTGTGGTTACCCGCCCCACATTTTGCGGTTAACCACATCCACAAATATAGAATTATGCTACCCACAACTCGCCCCACCGTGGGTAGTGGTTAACCACTACTCGCTGCGGGTTGGTTGTGGATACCACAAAAATTTCACATTAAAAATAATAACATGGTAATTAAATAGTGATGTGTTTCTTCTCACACAAAAACAAAAACATACATAAAAGAAAGTTAATAAAGTGTTAAATAAATTATAAATCTCGAATACAATAGGTTAATTAGCGTAAATTCAAAAGAGATGGATTTGGAAAGAGATTTGAAGATAACAAAGAGGCGGAGTGATATGTTACCCGACTAACATCGTTGCATGTCACGGCTCCTCCGATGACAACAATAGCAAAACACAACAGTGGCTCGATAAGTGAAGGCGCCCGCTTTTCATGAATCAATTATTCTCCACTCTCTATTATAGTCTTGTATTGTTGGTAGCGGGTTGCATGTTGTGTTGTTCGTGCGTTCGTGAAGAAATGGAGATGAGTTTGGGTATCAGACTAACCTTTATCGATTATTTTCCTCTTTTAACGAATCGATTAATTTATCTGACTATATCTATGGACTTGGTTTTGTTATAAAATAAACATATACCACAGGGACAATGCTTATTTAATAAAAGTATCTCACATGAACATTGTGTATTGACTTGGTTTTGTTTTATAGAATAAGTGCATATTTGATTTTGGTAGCTACTTTAATTCTTTGTCTTCCAAGTTTCACAAACTAATATAACTAATGTGGTTAATGTGGGTTACAAAGTATTTTGAAAAAATAAATATAACTAATGTGGTTTATGTGGGTAAACCGCTGTGGGTAGTGGTTAATCACTAACCACAAAAATCAATATTTTGATACCCACACCCAACCCACTATCCACAAATTGTGGGTATGGATATCCACAAAGTGTGTGGTTTGATGCGGTTTGCGGGTTACCCGCAAACTGCAAACCAAACTTCCACCCCTAATATTTTGAGTGATTTCATTGATTTCAAAGAGCGACGTGTACGTTTAAGATAATAAATCATAAATAATATATTTTATATTAGGGTATGTCTATGGTAACATGCATGTCACCGTAACTTGCACTTTTAGGTCGACCTCATATAGGATTAGGTCGACCTAATATGTCGTTCCAGTTTTGCGAGGTTCCCGAATACACTAATGTGGGCACCCTGATGACTTATCACGGTCGACCTTTAAAATGTAGTGGTCGACAGTTTGTAGTTTAAGCTGTCATTGTTGGTCGATCACAATAAAACATCGATCACCCTTTTCATTGGCGTAAGAAGCAAAATGGTCGACCGTAAAGGTATATAGGTCGACCACTTGATGGCGGTCATTAACAAAATGGTCGACCATTTAAAGAAAAAGGTCGACCAGATAGAAGAGAAGTATTGTATCCATTTATCCATCATTATTTGACGTAAAATGAAGATCAAGTGTTGGTTTCGCGGTCGACCGAATAGAAGAAAATCAACCTATACCCTGCATTTTTTTTGCTTATGTATGTCGATGTGGGTGGTTCTTTTGCTCGTACAAATTACGTTTCAAACCAACATAATCAGTCATAAATAATGATAACAAGGACTCATAACTTCCACGTGGTCGACCTCTTAAGTCACGTACAACAGCAACCACAAAGGGTCTTCTTCACAAAAGCTCTAACCATGAGTTTCGTTGGCCATGAAGGTGACATATATTCGTATTTATAGATAGTTAGGACGAGAATGGTTCGAATTAAGTGGTAGGTAAGTTAGGGTTACCTTTCTGGTGTTGGAATCCTTATCATATACGGATACGGTGTGCATGCGGTCGACCTTGTACTTATGCGGTCGACCTCAGTTAATCAAAATGGTCGGTCTATGAGGTATTTGGATCGACCTTTCATTTTTTTCGCTTCCCAAAGAGTTCAACCATTTGCTATAAAAGGTCAACCGCGTCGTTGAACCTCACAAAACTAAAACGGCATATTAGGTCGACCTAATCCTATATAAGATCGACCTAAAAGTGCAGATTAGGTCGACCTAATCCTATATGAGGTCGACCTAAAAGTGCAAGTTACGGTGACATGTATGTCACCGTAGCAAATTCCTCTATATTATTGTTATCATCATCATCATATTGTTTAAAAATTTTATTTTTGCCCCCCCCCCCCGATTCAGAATCCTGGCTTCGCTCCTGGCAAGCATGGCAGCTTCAACAGATGGTGGTCCACCAAAGAATAAAAAGAAAAAAGGAATGACTATTGAAGAACGCCTCACCAATGTGACTAGAGATGTTATACAAGATACAAGACGTTTTGGACAAGCTGATGTTCGTGAAAAGGTTGATTGGTTGAATGTAGGGAGAAGAGTTAGTAATCCCAGCTTGTATGTAAGATTTTTTGGGATTATTAGTGCTTGGTCTTTGTGATGTCAACTCGAACATGGTGTTTTTAAGGGATTAGTAGGGGTTGTTGTGATCCCAGCTCGGACATGGAGCCTTTTTTGGGGATTACTTACTCTTCTTTTATGCATGTTAGAACATTTTTCTTAGCTTGAAGTTGTACTACATTTGATATTTTATGTTCTAAACTCTGCAACTGGATATGATTTGAATATGTATGCAATTATATTCTACAGAACCAACCTTTGATGTTATATAATTTCAATCAGTCTGCAATTTTATGATTTCAATCAGTCCGCAATCACATTCTGCAGAACCTACTGCATATGATTTCAATTAGTCTGCAATTACATTCTGCAGAACCAACCTTTCATGTTATATGATTTCAATCAATCTTCAATTTTATGATTTCAATCCGTCTGCAATCACATTCTGCAGAACCTACTGTATATGATTTCAATTAGTCTGCAACTACATTCTAGCTTCAACAAACTCTGCATATTTGTTCATGTTTCAATCTTCAATCCTTACACTAGCAATCCTATTACGACAGCCGCACACAACATGTTGTG